AAATATGACTGCTGTTAATTCTTGCTGTAAAAACAAAAATGTTAAGATTAGTTAACATGTTATGATGCAATAGGCTCGAGGGAACGCGCATGAGTGTCGTAAAGCAAGATGACGATGGAATCGAGATCTCATTCGTGAGAACATGGAACACTTCGAAAACCGGGCTTCCCCTTAATATCGACAAAAGGTTCATTTGAGATCAGTCTTAAATAGAATCATATTGCTATTATATACTAATATTTATTTTCAAATTATTTTTTGTAAGATTCGTAATGCTTCGTGGTTCCTCTGGATTTTACTCTTACGCAATTCTCGAGCGACTGGAAGATTGGCCAGCTGTTATCCTCTCTCAAGGCCGCATGGCGTTCAAACTTAACGGCGTGTAAGGAGTTACATTTGATTTGTTTCGCAATAATTGAACAAAATATATATATTTTCTTTTAAGGTATTAATTGGGCTGTGTTGTTCTTAGGTTTGATTACATGGCGGTGTCTGATGACAGACAAAGGATAATGCCGACAACTGAAGATCGCGAGAGAGGTCAACCTCTCGACTTTCCGGAAGCTGTTCTTCTCACAAATCCAGCAAATCCTTCCCTCAGGGGAGAGGTAATTAAAAATATGAGTGTAATTTGGTCACAAGAAGCTTAGAATTGTGTTATAATTATCTAATCATGTTTTTTCTCAAGTATATTCAAATTAATTAATCTTCAAATGCTACTAAATAATGTTACAGGTTGATGACAAGTATCAATATTCTAGCGACAACAAGGATTGTCGTGTGCATGGATGGATTTCAACAAAGTTGCATACCGGGTTTTGGGTAATCACACCAAGCAACGAATTTAAAATGGGCGGGCCCGTTAAGCAAGACCTCACTTCCCATGCCGGCCCAATTTCCCTATCCGTAACGTCACATTATCTATCCTATTAGATAGATACCATTCTTGATTTCTCAAAGTCTGGATAAAATTGAATAACTATTCTCAAAATGTCATGTGCAGATGTTTTTTAGCACTCATTATGCTGGAGTGACTTCAGTAATATCATTTGGAGAAGGCGAAACGTGGAAAAAAGTGTTTGGGCCCGTTTTTATCTACGTGAACTCGGTTTCAAGAAGTGAAGACCCACTTAAACTTTGGGCCGACGCTAAGGAACAGGTAAATTTAGTTTTCAAGAATATGAATTTATCTGATTTTGTTATGCTTATCTTCTTTTCCAATTACATTTTCAGATGTTCATAGAAACACAAAGCTGGCCATATGATTTCCCGGCCTCGGCTGACTTCCTTCCAGCCGAGCAGCGTGGTGTAGTAAGTGGTCGATTACTTGTTCAGGATAGGTATGAAATTTATTGCTTGCGGCTAATTTTCTAACTTTTTAAAAGCAATACAAAGTTTTGCAATGTACTTAGTTACATGAAAACTAATCTTGGAAAATTTGTGGAAATTTTGGTCTTTAGCTACATTAGTGACAAGTTGATGAATGCAAACAATGCTTATATCGGGTTAGCTCTACCGGGCAAAGATGGATCATGGCAAAGAGAAAATAAGGTTTGTCTTCAAGATTATTTTGAAAAACAGAGCAATTTTCGGCTACATTAAAACGAAATGAAACTGTAAATTTTTATTTTCACTTTTGTCACAGGGCTATCAATTCTGGACTCAGGCTGATAATTTGGGGTACTTTATAATCACCGGAATATTACCCGGTAAATATAGCCTAAATGCTTGGGTCCCTGGATTTATCGGCGACTATATGCTCGATTACGTTATCAATGTTCAACCAGGTTAATAAATAACAAATATTTTACTAGATTTTTTTTTTTTTTTTTTTTTTTTTTTTTTTTTTTTTTGGTCAGGTTAGTATTCAATATAAATTATGGTTATCTGAAAAGATGGTGTCAAATTCTATTTGTTAGGAGGAGAAATTAAGATTGGACATATTACATTTGAGCCTCCGAGAATTGGGCCTACAGTGTGGGAAATCGGCATTCCTGACCGTACGGCTGCTGAATTCTTCGTGCCCGATCCAAATCCAGGACTCATGAACCAATTATACCTTGACCAGGCAGACAAGTAAGTTGAATATACGTACACAAAAATGGTTAAAATTCACCACAAAGAAAAGTATAGTCGCCAAAATGCTTGCGCTAAAATCGACATTTACATTAGGACTGTGGTGTTAATGTTTTAATATTTATTTTTTTAATTATTTTGTTTGTGATCACTGATAAATCTTCTGTCTGAAACTTGTAAAAGCAGGTTCAGACAGTACGGATTGTGGGACAGCTACACAAATTTATACCCAGATCACGATTTAGTCTACACGGTAGAAACGTGCAATTACCAGACAGATTGGTTCTTTGCTCAAGTTAACAGGTGAACCTTAATTTGTACTAAAATAAAAAATGTTCCAAACGTCGAAATTCAGATACATAACACTTGTTTTATGACCATATATATATATGTGGAAATATAGGAAAACTGGCAAAACATACAAACCAACAACATGGACAATTAAGTTCAACCTAACAAACGTCGTGAATGATTCATCTGCAAGCTACACCCTCCGAATTGCATTGGCATCCGCTACTGATGCTGAATTACAGGTTGAACTTTATAAAGTTAGTTACATATAGAGTTAGTTGAATCCAATTAAAACACGATTTTTTATTTTTTTTTATCTTTTTTTGGGCTTTAGGTACGGATAAATGATGCGTCAAAAGCGCCATTTTTTAGCACGGGTTTGATAGGGAAGGACAATACAGTTGCTAGGCATGGAATTCATGGGTTTTATTGGCTATTTACTGTGAATATACCGGCTTCTATGCTATTTGCTGGCTCTACGAACGCTATCTACTTGACTCAATCGAGAGCATGGATTCCGTGGAGGAATGTCATGTATGATTGTCTACGTCTCGAAGCTCCTTATACGAACAATAGTACTCAGACGTGAAGAAATATGCGTAGTATTAATTAGTTGCTTTTACTTTCAAGTTTTACAGATAAAAGATTAAGGTGGGAGGAAAAAAATGAAAAACAAAGAAAAAAAAAAAAATCATAGAAGGGGTNTTATTGATAATAATATGTAGTTTTGTTTGCAGCATTGTTGAGCCGCAAAGTAAGAGGTGGAAACCAGAATTATTAGATGCATACAACACATGAATGCGGTCATACAAAGATTAAAAGAGAAAGATTAAAGAGAGAACAGTAAGACAAGAGCATAAACTTTCATATAAACTAATCGTGAGTATCAATAATATTTTGGGTTTAATTTCGCTTACGTGGCATATAAATAGACTCCGGTCTTTCGTGACGAGGATAAAACTAAATAAAATTAACCAAAGTCGTTTTAATGCAAAGAGATAGAATTCCTACTTAGTCTAAAATAGAGTTAATATTGGTGGATCGAATGTCTTTTTTTACTACGACATCAGGACCACTCTGAAAGAACCCAACTTATTGTAGATGTTTTTAGAAAAATTTTGTCTCGTAAGTGGAAAAAGGTTATTTAAAAAAAAATGAAAAGAGATAAATTTAAGATTGTGAATGAATATGATATTAAAATATAATAATTGAATTTGATATGATGTAAAAATATTAATGAGTAAGATTGGTAGTTAAAAATATGTGATCAAATTAATATTATCCGTTGTTGGAAATATATCATAATAATTTACTTTTTAATTTTTCAATGTAGTGGAATAGTAGAGAAAAAATAAGATGAAATGAAAAATACTTTTAAAAAAAATGTTTATTTTAAATCTTAATGAAGCTTAATAAATAAGATTTTCTTTTTTTTTTNAAAAAAAAGTCAAGTATTTTTATAATTTGCCACATTTTTTTTATTATTATTTCCTTCAAGGTGGGTTGACTCTCTCAGTTTAGACGGGCAGTAAATGTGAAACCCCTAACTTTCAGGTTCCATGAGGTATTTCGGTCCAAATTTGGGCAGATTTATTTAGTATAGAGTGATAGAGATTAGACCAAAATTGTTAAAATAAAAATTGTAAAAGAACAAAGGTTAGTGAATGAAATTGAACCCAAAAAATTTGAAAGACTAAATCAACTTAACATAAGTAATTGTTGAAGTACAGTAAGACTTGCGCAAGTGTACAATTAGTCAGTTAATTAATTTTTTTGATAGATATACATTTTAAATTGAAATGTCATATTATATTAAATAATATAATATTTTATAACATAAATATATATTTTTATTATAAATATATGACTTGTCTGATTTGTCTAACAATTAAATCACCACACACATTATACTAAAAGTATTGTGGTTGAAGTATATTGGGAGAAAGGAGAAGGAAAACAAAACTAAGTTTGGCTACTAATTAATGATCAAATTAAATCCGTAACAGAGGTAAGGTTAATACAACATCAGGTTTGCTATGGAGCCATCGGATGGCTCGATTTATGGAGTCATCCACACTTATTCACCAATACTGTATTGACACGTGTCCTACAATAAATACACTTTGAACATGTGTCAATACATTAAGTGGTGGATGACTCCATAAGAAAACCATCCGATGGCTCCATAAAATTTTTTAATACCACACCCGACTTCTTTATAAATCTATAACGATGAGCTATTCCTTTATTACAAAAGAAAAAATTTACCGTCCATTTTTTTAGTTAATCATAGAAAATAATCACAATTATTTTAATTTATTATATTATTTAACAGGTAATATTATTATTAACTAATCATAATTCAAACTAAATTTTATGTAGAAGTAACATAAGTATCGATATTTCTATTGCAAATTTTTTTCTTCAAGCAGCTCTTTCCATATGTACTTAAATAGATTATATTTATAATATTTTATTATTTGTAATTGTCAAATTCTGAAAATGCAATATGTATAATCTAATTATAATTTTTAATTATATTCAAACACATAACTCATAATATTTTAATTATATGTGTACGTGAGCATATGATGATTAATAGTTTCTTAGTACTATAAACAAGCAGTTTACTAATCCATTTATTCTGATTAACTTCATAATTAAAGCTTCCATAAAACCAATTTACGTTGAGTCCATGAATTAAATTAAACAGGTTTAGAGTTACAGGACATGTCATTTTGTTGAATTCATGGAATGTTTGAGAATACTACTCCCTCCATTTTGAAATATAAGGCATTTAAGGTTATTGCACAAATATTAAGGAGACATTAATTAATGAATAAATTGACTAAATTAACCTTATTTACTCTAATCACAACCACTCCACACTTCCTTAATTTCAACACAATGAGGGTATATTTGGAAAAAAATGCAAAAATTTGTCTTGATTTTTGAGCGCGCCTTATATTTCAAAAAAAATGAGAAATCTTTATACGCCTTATATTTCAAAATGGAGGGAGTATTAACTAAGTTTTTAATAAATATTATTCACTGCACCAAATTAATTTCATTCAACACCAGCCAATAAATACTGAATAAATCTGTACTCTGTTCTCATTCATTATTCATTTTATCCATTCTCTGCTTTATGAAAAATGGCGTGCACATTTTCTTTTACCAAAAAACATTATATATATGTGCTATTCTACCAAAAATCTAATTTGATCAAGGTAATTCTATCAAGCTTCATACCTTTTCATTATTCAGTATATATGTTATGTTTTATTTAGTATAAAACCTAATATCATCAATGGCTTATAAATATTAAACAATATATTTTTATAAATATTATAAATATTAAACAATATCATCGAATGGCTTCATACACAATGTTTTTTTAATTGTAAATTTGCAGTAAATAGTTGGTTTTATTTATTTAAACAGAAATTGTGAGATTTGTGATAGCTGATATGGACAAGGCAAGAAGCCGCTTGATGTTGTTAGGATGGCTTGCAATTCATTGTGTTTCATTCTTCCTTGTTGACTCTGTTGCAGATAATGTGACTGGAAACAGGTCATTTCAATTTTCTCATAGTTCTAATTTTTATTTATTGATGCATTGAGAGTTATATAGAAAATTTTGCCTTGTTGAATGGATTTGATCATACTCGAAAACCGATTTTATATTTATTATTAATAGTTGGTAGTAAGACTAAAAAATTATTTTTTTAATAAAATGTAAAAATGTACTTTTTTCAGAGGATAAAATGTTGATTGACTGAGATAAATGACCAAAATGTCTAAGTCAACATATCAATAATCTCAAATGAGTGAGATAAATGAAGAATATTGTAATTTTGCCAGAGTACCAAATTTTAAATCCTTTTTTTTTTTTAACAGAAAACGTGACAATAACTAAAACTATTATTTTTATGACTAAAATCAAATATAGACAAAAACTATTTTCGCCCTATAGTTAACATGTATCTATATATATATATATATAATAAGAATTATCATTTTTTAAAAATGAAAAGTCAAATTTCAGTCAACATTAATTACCTATCATTCTTAGTAACTTTTTTTTTCCTAATAATCATATTAACAATATATTAAAAGAGTGATTAACATGCTTTGTTATATAGATACGTGATTTTCACTTAAAATTGAAATAGTAACAGGCTTTGTTCATTAAAAATTGACAACATGTTAAAAAGATTTTTCAATTTACGAGGCTTTGTTCATAAATTTTTCAACATGTAACAGCATATTAACCATTTTTCAAAGTCTGTTAATACATTTCAAGTTTTAATAAGAATTACCATGTGAATATGACAACAATGTTTATTTATTAATTCATTTCAATTTTTAATATTCCCCAAACTTCAAATAATCATATTAACAATACGTTTATATGACAACATGTTTAATGATTAATGAATATTTATATCATTTTATTAATATTTATGTGAATAAAATAATATTTTATTATAACTTTTATTAATGTACAGTGAATATGGTTTTCAGAATTGAACCATCATCGAAACGATCAAGTTATTCTATTAAATCATTTGTAGTTTGTTCAGATTTTAATTTATAAACATTTTAATATCAATATATATACATTTTAATATATATATATATATATATATATATGTATATATCTAGAGTACTATTTTTTAATAAATTTTAATAAAATGTGTTACTTAAATATCTAAACAATTTATAAAAATTCAAATGTTAAAACTAATTGATAAACAATTTATAAATCTCTATTTTATTTAAATATGTAATTTTAATTAAAATAATTTTAAATGTAACACAATTTATTTAGAAAATCGTAACGATCCTACCAGTCCAACTGACTGATGTTGACGGATTCAATAGTAAATATTTTATTTAAGCAAACTATACTGTTTATAACCCGGTTCTCGGTCCATCCGGTTGGACTGCGTCCAACCTGGTTTAATTTAAAAACAATGGGTAAATCATAATTAATGATATTATATATTTAATTTATAATATAATCGTAATATTATTTTCCCGTGTATCACACGAGCCACGCACTAGTTAATATATGTTGGATGTATTACTTTACAAGTTACAACTAACAAGTTACAAGTATATGAGAGTTAATAGGCATTGAAGACGAAGTACTCGATGCAAGTGAAATTGTAGGTTATACAATAAAACAATTCAAATTTTTATAACGTATGGAAAAAGTTGTTAATCTTACCTTTGTTATAAATGATCATATATGAGGAATTAGATTATGTTTTAATGTAAGAATTTATGTTAATTATACTTTAAAATTTATTGATATAACTATTTGTTTATGTTATTTCAATATTATAATTGTATTATCCTTCCTATATATAAATGCATAATTTCTCAAACCAACTTGTCAGTTATGTGCTTCGTAATCCTATGTATAGATTCCTATATATAAATGTCGAGTTCCTAGAACTTACGTGTCAGTTCTGGTGCTTCATAATCCCATGTCACTATTTCTGACGCTTCATAATAGTATATGTCAAATTCAGATGTCCTGCAAACTCGCAGTAATCCATATAGATTTGGATTGTTATCTATGCCCCTTATGAATTTTAAAATTATGAATCAGTTGATCAGCATAAAGGTTCAATATATTTTTAAAATTTAATAATTCTTTTATTTGTTATAAATTTTTTACATGTGATATATCAAATTAATCATCCGTTCTTCGATTTGATATCTATATTCTATATATAAAATATTTATATCTACCTTTACAAAAAAATTAGATTGTTTAATATATCCTAACTGGAAAATAAAAACAAACAGTGGGCTGTAGCTATGAGTGCCAGATTTTCGGAAGTCCACAGAAAATGATTTCTAATTGCCCGAAGTGAGAAGCAAAAATATTCAGGTGCCAATAATTTACGATTACACAAATCGAACAATTACTTAAATTATACATATATTTTAAAATTTAATATTTTTTTATTTATTATCAGTTTTTTTTATATGTGATATATCAAATTAATTATCCGTTATTTTTCGATTTGATATACATATTGCATATATAAAAAATTTATATCTATATCTAAAAAAGAAAATTAAGTTATTTAATATATCCTAATTGGAAAATAATAAAAAAAAATTAGTTACTGATGAATTTATCTATCAAATCAATTATTATATGAAACAAAAAAAATCGTATATGATATGAATTAAAAAAAAATATATGAAAGAGGAATAGAAAATTTTACAATAATGGTCCATAAATAAAAAATATATATATATATATACTAGTACATGGCTCAGATGATTATAAATTAAAATAATAGGCCAAGCAACCATAAATTAAAATAATAAAGAAAAATTTATTAGTATAATAATAATTTTGAATATTAATATCAATTTTTATTTTATTATTATATATAATATTTAGTTTGTGGCTTATTTATTTATTTTATCCGTAAAATAATTGTCATTTTAAAGTTCATGCTTATAATTAAGGAATATGTAAATTTAACATATTGAAACAATAGAAATATATAATACTCACAAAAATACTTCTCTCTCTTACATAACTCATACCTTATTACAATGTATTGTTTCAATTTCTAATTACATCGTGGTAAAGCTGAAATTTTGCCTATTATTATAAACTGTCACTACAAAAAGAATGTATTATACATTATTCTAAAGTTGCAAAATTTATTAATCTTTAATATGTGAAAGTTAATTTAGTTTTTTTTATAACTTACATAATAATGTATATTATAAATATTTTAAATTTTTTTACTAATCTAATAATATACATGGAAATTCAACAAATTATCTTATTTATCATTTTAATATTGTATATACTGATCTTCAAAATAATTATTTACTTATTTTTATATTTTTTAGCATTAACGTTTTAAATTCATGAGGGATACACATACTCAATACTATTTTAGATTATTTATTAAATATATTTTGTTATACATATGTTTATATTTTATAGTATTAACTTGAGAATAGTTTATTATTTTTAAATCAATATTTAAATAATAAATTTAAGTTCATTTATATGTGCAACAGTAACTAATAAACTTATTAATATATACTTTATAAATAATTAATAATCTCATTTATTAATATCACTTCACTAACAATAAAAATTAAAATAGATTGTGTAGAAAAAAATAGTATACTAAAATCTTTTGCAAAGTTTAATTAATTGATTTAGATAAATTATTGATATGACATTAAATAACATAAAAATAAAAGTCTCACCAGAATACTAAAAAAATATCGAAAGGATATAGAAAAAAAAAAGATTAAGCAATATTTAAAAAAAAAAAATCTTATTTAAGCAGCAATTTTTTTTTTCGGGAAAACCAAACTATTTTAAATAAATACAAACTTTTTATAGGTATAGAGAAGGATGATAAATGATATTGAAATAAATAATCATTTTATTTACATATAAGTGGTTGAGTCACTTTTCATATTGAGTTGCATATTGAGTTATACATAAAATATACATATCTAGCATCAATTGTCCTTATCATTATCCCCTCATATATTAATTCAGAACGTGCTGAGCCTAAATGGCAAACTCTCATGCTTCGGAATTCTATATAGCAAAATTACATGCTTCGTTATTAACATGCATATTGTATGTATAAAAAAAATAAATTATATTTATATTTATCAATAATAAAATTATTTTTAATGTTAATTAGAAAAATAAAATTATTAATTAATTAATATATTTATATTTCTAGTAGTTATGTGATATAAAAATTACTATAATATAACACATTTAAGTCGCACAAGTAACAAGTATCATTATAAAATATATAATAATATGTATTTATTGTAAAGAAGTAAATAAAATTTAAAATAAATTTTTCATTAATTTAAATTTAAGAATAAATTTTTAACAAGCACCCGTGTAATACACGGGTGTTGTACTAGTAATTATAATATTACCAAAATCATAAGCCTAAATTTTGCCATCACATAGGATAGACTATTTGTTAAACTAATATGCAAATTAGATTAACTTAGACGCTTATGTGTGAATTTGTTTCTTTTTTCGTAGATAAAAATTCTAACAACTCATGCAGGTCGTCTGCTCATAGCCGTAAATGCTCATCTTCTTCAGTCAAGCTCCGTATATCACATGACCATGTGAGCCATCAATTGATTACATTATAAAACCATCTTTAATCTGTTTGATGAAATGACTGAAAGAACTTTGATACATTTTTAGGTACCTTTTGCACATTGTTTTTTGTACAAGCTAACAGAACATCATTCTCATTGAGGACTTTGTGTTTGGCATTCAGGTTGTGATGGATAATGGCATCGTTAAACTCGAGTTAACAAAACCATCCGGTTTGATCTCAGGCATATCATATGGTGGAGTCAACAATGTCCTCGAATACAAGAATAAAGAAACACAAAGAGGGTAAGCAAAACGCTTCTGTTTTAATAAAAGCCATGTTGTGCTTTCGTGATTTGTCGATATTTTATAAGTCAGCTAAGTGCTAAGGGATGTATTTTTCGTGCAGTGCAGTGCAGTTTTCGTATGTTTTTTATTTACAAAAATGGTTGATTTAATTTGTGAACTAATGCAGGTATTGGGATATTGTATGGAGTAGGCCAGAGATAAACCAAAGCAATTTCGACATGTAAAAGTCCATTCTCTAGAATACAAGAAGCAGGATCCTGTTACAATTTAACGTAAGGATTTTTCGGGATATTCTAAAACATTTTTATGTTTGGTTTCTCCTACTTTTGTGCAGGCTCCACAGCACTAGTTTCAAGGTCATATCACTAACTAAAGAGCAATTAGAAGTTTCGTTTAATATAACATGGAACGTGTCCCTTGGCGTAAGTGGTCTTCCTCTCAATATAGACAAAAGGTATTTCTAGTGCACACAATTATATATTTTCTTAACGATCATAGCCATTTTTGTAAAGATAACATCATTTTTAGCCTTTTCCCGATGGAGTATAGTCATTTCATGTTGGATAGCTGTCGTGAAATGGTCATTACCCGAAAATCGACTAGAAAGGCTGTGTGGTATGATAATGGGTATAAAAAAGATGTATAGGCATAGAACAATGACTATTTTGACCCATTTGCAGTTTTTCTTTTTTCTTTTTTTTTTTTTTTTTGTTTTTTTGGTGTGTTTAAAGAGGTATGTCCTGAACTATACCGAATTATTTGTGTTAGGTTCATAATGCTTCGAGGAGTTTCAGGATTCTACTCATATGCAATATTCGAACACAAGAAAGGTTGGCCTGATCTGAACATTGATGAAGCAAGAATCGCGTTTAAGCTTGACAAGAACATGTAAATTTTTTCACTTATGTACAAATACTACTAATAAGCATTTAATTGTGTCAGATCATACATAAATGATGAATTACATGAATTAAGGTTTGACAAGATTTTATCAATCCTTAAACTGCATGATTAGGTTTAATTACATGGCTATATCGGACGACAGGCAGAGGATCATGCCAACAGACGATGACAGAAAAGTAGGGCGCACGCTCGACTATAAAGAAGCAGTTTTAGTCAAAAATCCTGTTAATTCCAAACTCAAAGAAGAGGTAGGGGCTTCTTTTACTAAAATATTAATAATTAGAAGAAAAATAATATAGATATACATTTACGTGCACAAAAATATTTGAAGTGTGAAATAACTATCCAAGGTGGATGACAAGTATCAATACTCGTGTGAGAACAAGGATAGCTATGTGCACGGTTGGATAAGTTCGAACCGACACATAGGATTTTGGGTCATTACGCCAAGTGATGAGTTTCGAGCTGGTGGCCCTGTTAAACCTGATCTTACTTCTCATGCTGGTCCAACTTCCTTAGCAGTAAGTACCACCTCTTAATCCATGTGATTTTAAGTTCAAGATCCACTTGTTGCCAAAGATGCCATAAATAAATGTTAGGAGTTAGCATTGATATGGAGAATAGTCAAGAATTTCCATGCAAGTACTCATTTTAATCGTCTTTACAAATTATGAACAAATATACAGATATTCTTTAGCAACCATTATTCTGGTCCAACTTTCGGTGTTAGATTACATAATGGAGATCTCTGGAAAAAGGTTTTTGGACCCGTTTTCATATACCTAAACTCGGATTCAGGGGACAAACCGAGTACACTTTGGTAAGATGCCAAAAAACAGGTCATTTTTGTAGATTATACAATAAAACCAAGTTCTTGATTCTTTTTTCATGATTTTTCCATAAATTAACACATATGCCGGCATTTTTGCACGAATCAGATGTCTGCAGAATACAAGAAATGGCCTTACGACTTCCCGTTATCGAATGACTTCCCTCGTTCGAATCAACGTGGTACAGTTAATGGTCGTTTATTAGTCAATGACAGGTACATTAACAAAGATCATTTTTTTCCGGCAAAATCAGCATATGTGGGATTGGCTCGACCTGGAGAAGTGGGGTCCTGGCAAGATGATGCTGAGGTTATTTAATAATTATTAAATCAATTTCGTTCAAATAATTAATGTCGTTTCCTAGAATTAGTCCTTAGAAAAAGCCTCTAATTTTTTGCCTACTTTTTTTTTTTACAGGGTTATCAATTTTGGACACAAACTGATGAAAATGGCTACTTCAGGATAAACAACATTAGACCGGACACTTACAATCTGTATGCTTGGGTGCCAGGGTTTATTGGAGACTTTAGACATGATAAAAGTGTTGTCATCCGATCAGGTCCTTTTCAAAAACCAAATAAATAAATAAATAAATAAAAATAACTTGATTAATTGACTCGCATATACAAAACCAAGCAGGGGAAGAAACTCAAATACATGAGCTTGTGTATAATCCTCCAAGAAATGGTCCCACTCTATGGGAAATCGGGATTCCTGATCGAACGGCTTCTGAGTTCTACATTCCCGATCCTGCCCCTGAGTTTATGAACAATTTATACATCAAACATCCTGAAAAGTAATGAGCTATCGATTTATTGTGAACTTTATTTGTACTATTAACAACTTCTGTTCTAATTATCATAATTATTCATGATACAGGTTCAGACAATATGGTTTATGGGACAGATACACAGATTTATACCCTACAGATGATCTCAAGTATCTTGTTGGGGTGAGCGATTTTCGGAAAGACTGGTTTTTCGCTCATGTCAACAGGTTCTAATTCTGTCCACCTTTTTTATGATTTTAATAAACCAAGATATTTATAGATTTGTCCTAATCAAACTTCGACTGACTTTTTTTTCCAGGAAGGCAGACAAAAAGAAGTATATGCCGACAACATGGCAAATTTCATTTTACGTGAAAAATGTCGTGAGGAATGAAAACTACACGCTCAGGCTTGCTCTGGCTTCTGCCACCTTAGCTGAAATACAAGTACGGAAATTAAATCAATAATTCTCGGCATTAAGTTAAATAAAGCATTGAAAGTAATCTTATTTAGCTGTATTGCTACTAGGTGAGGGTGAACGATCCGAATAAAAAGCAACCCCATTTTACGACAGGACGGATAGGAAAGGACAATGCGATTGCAAGGCATGGAAATCACGGGAGGCATTGGCTTTATAGTGTTAATGTAATGGGATCCCAACTTGTGAATGGAAATAACACAATCTATCTAAAGCAAGCGAGAGGCGGAAGTCCTTTTACGGGAGTTATGTATGATTACATTCGTCTGGAGGGCCCGTCATAAG